ACACCCACCTCGCTACAACCTCCTTTCAGGTAGTTGTAGAGAGCGATGAGGTCTCCCCTCAGCCTCCTTTTCTCCAGGCTAAACAACCCCAGTTCCCTCAGCTGCTCCTCATCAGACTTGTTCTCCAGACCCCTCACCACCCTCGTTGCCCTTCTCTGGACACGCTCCAGCACCTCGATGTCCTTCTTGTAGTGAGGGGCCCAAAACTGAACACAGTATTCGAGGTGCGGCCTCACCAGTGCCGAGTACAGGGGCACGATCACTTCCCTACTCCTGCTGGCCACACTATTTCTGATACAGGCCAGGATGCCATTGGCCTTCTTGGCCACCTGGGCACACTGCCGGCTCATATTCATAGGGAAGAAATGTTCATAAATTTCTACTAACAAGATACTCCACTCCACCATAACTCTCGTCTCAAATGGGTCGAGATGAGATTACTGTAATAATTTCCAAATTAATTTAAAAGTATAGCGTTCCAAGAACAAGACCACAGAAGCCTGCTTCCACACAATAGACCATAATTATTACAATTCAACATCTGTACTACGTTTCCATGTATTTCAGGAGGTGATGGGGAAAGCTTTACACTTTTCTGTGGCAGAGATAAGCTCTTGTCTCATAGCAAGCCTCCACAGTGGAAATCAGAGATTTCTCACCTGTAATCCCTTGGTGAGAAAAAGAGGGCTATCGGCAAGAAGATCGTCTCTTCTTGAAAACATGCTTTCCAAAGTACCTAGAGTTCCTGCTTTAAAACTGAGTATTATTTTTTAAACATCTCTCATCAGAAGTGCTGCTAAAATAGCAAATACTACTGACTAGATATAGTGAGGAAAAAATATAGCTATTACTTGTTATTTCAGTAACATGTAATACAGTATTGCTCTTTTAAACTGCACACTAAATAGCTAAGCCCTGAAGATCAGAAGTGCCTCATTTTTTCACAGATCTAAATAAACAAATGTTGAACAATAGTTCTGTGGATTTAACCTTTTACACACTACGCTGACCGTAGTTTCCAAATACTGGGTAATGCTTCTCCCATTTAAGAAATCAAAACTTAAAATATAAATCAACCCTGAGTGCTATGCATTAGTTTACAAGAAAAATAACAGGTTTTTAATACTGGGCTTCAGAAATAATAACTTACCTGCTGTCTGTGCAGGGTTTATTCCTATTCCATCTGGGGTTTTTCTATCCCACAAAGAAAAAAAAAAATAAAAAAAAGAGAAAAAAAAAAAGAGGGAAAGGTGAAAAATACAATTTACTACACTAAACCTACAGGTCAAAAAATATAATATACCAAATACCAACAATATAATTATTACATCAGGTCTTCAAGCAGCTACTTCCTATAATCAAAACTAGTCTTATCACAGGAGCTAACAAGAAACCTTCAGCACAGAAAATCCACACTATATGTTAGGACAAAACCAAATTAATAATATTAGTGGTTTAATACCTTCATCCCATGCATAAGCAATTTAAATAATGCTGCAATATTATTAAATTCAGTTTGCAGTCTGTAGAGGCTGTGAAAGAAAAGACACTTTTGCTTTTATCAATATCCCTTCACTGAAACAACAATCCAAAAACTATTAAAAAATATATATAAACTAAAGTTTTGCCAATTAAGTCTTTGTGTGATATCATAATTTACATGAGATCTTGCTTTTCATCCAGGGACCTTAAAACATTTTCTAAATGTTAATTAGGATGTGCAGTGTTTCTCTGTAACATATAGCCCATTTTTCAGAAATATAAACTAGCACTCAGAGATGTCAAATGATGCTTTTAAGACTAATAAGAGATACTCTTGAATCTTAAGCCCTGCTTAAACTTTGAGATAATGCTGCCGTTCAGACCTCTTTTCATAAACTTTAACCACCAAAGAATTTTCATCATCTTCCAGCTTCATAGTGAGTCCCAACACTGTGCTTTTAGGACAAATTGATGATTGTGATTGTGTGTGTTCTTGTTGGTTCAAAGTATCTAAATAGTTCAAGGGCTGTGCTGTGGTCCAATGAAGTGATGGGTTTTATAGCATGAGATGAAAGGTGTACGTCGTCTGCCCTGCGGCATGTCAGGAGAGGGCAGGTGAGCCTCTCAGGGGCTGAGCTGGTGGGATCTGAACGCTTGCAGTTTTGTTGGGAAATGCTCCCTGGAGTGAACTACATTTAAGACCATGCTTAAATTTTGTCTTGGAAACAGCAAGCTGGAACAACTTGAAATAGAGTGAGGGAATGAACTAACAATTAGGGAGTACGGATAATCACATGCCCTGTGCTCAAATTTGTTTGCTCAGGTCCCCTTTTTATTTAGCAGTGTAAGACCAGGAAGTCCATGAGTGTGCTATTTTTTAAATATCTCTGAACTTACTGGGGTAACCGATAAAACTTTTGACAGGGCTTTAGGACAAACTTGTCTAACGTACAGAGCTTTATGTATGGCTTAATTAATTAAATTACTTTTATTCTGTTTTCTGTAATTACTTTTAAACAAAGTTTAGTATAGTTTTTATTTTAAGCCCACATCTTGATTCTCAATTTGAGTTAGTTCTGAAATTAACTGTGCTTTTTCTATACCGAGTATTTTTTTTCAAGTTTGTAGTTGTTTGGTCTTTTACTCCTTAGGCAATTAGTCTAAGAATCTACAGGGAAGATTCTGTCCCATGTCCAGTGTGGAACTTTGTTGCCAAAATTACTAATTACCCCCAAAAGTTATTTCAGGGGACTGTGCAATGTTTGACAAAGATTAAGACATAATTTTGGCAAGCACCTTTAGGTATTCAGGTTGCTGAGTAGTAACAGTAATTATTAAGACACGTATTTATTATGCAAAAAAAAAGAAGAAAAAAAAAAGAGGAAAAGGTGAAACAGACATAATACAATTTACTACACTAAACCTACAGGTCAAAAAATATAATATACCAACAAGATATAATTATTACATCAGGTCTTCAAGCAGCTACTTCCTATAATCAAAACTAGTCTTATCACAGGAGCTAACAAGAAACCTTCAGCACAGAAAATCCACACTATATGTTAGGACAAAACCAAATTAATAATATTAGTTATTTAATACCTTCATCCCATGCATAAGCAATTTAAATAATGCTGCAATATTATTAAATTCAGTTTGCAGTCTGTAAAGGCTGGGG